CAAGCATCAACATGATGGATCTGGCTGGAAGCATTGCTGGGGGACGATTTCCGGAAGTAACCATTACTTGGCGAAGGGAGAATGGAATATAGTGGATGCTAACATCTTTCCATTTCGGTTCCAGTTTTTGGAGGACCTGATTTATTTTTGAATTTAGACTCAATGTCAGATAAATAAAGAAACTTACCTCAAAACCAATCCAACTATATGGCGACACCACATCGAAATAAAAGTCAATCCTGGGTTTAGTCATACCGGAAAAACTAGAAATCTAGGTATATTAAAAAATGTATAAACCGACAAAAAAAGTTTGTCCTTTTTTAACTGACCAGACCGTTTTATAGGAAACACAGAAAGAAGGAATAGTGTGTAAATCGGAGAGACTCAGGCAGTGAGAACACGTGGTGATAAGGAAGGCAAAGGAAACAGTGTAGTCTGATAAGCGAACAATGACTTATGATGGGAACAAAATAGAAAAAAAGATTTGAAAGTTCGAAATTTACCTGTTTGAAAAATTAAGAGTTGGTTGTTTGGTGGCCTAGAGAACACATGCAAAAGTTAGGAAACTGTGGTAAATTACCTACAAACACACCATGTAAATATCGGACGAACTCTAGGTCATAAAAATTGATGGCCTAGAACGCCAATGTTTGGCCGACATGTGAAAAGGATTTAGAAAACCCATTAGGTGCATGACCACTTCTGGACTATCAAATCCGGTGGCCTAGAAATATCATGTTGAAAAAGTTAGGACACTTTATCCCTCCTAGGAAAAGAGTTCAATGTTTCTGGTTATCTTCACCAGAGCACAACGATAGATGGTTCAAAATCTACCTGATCTTTGTCCACCCACCCTTTCACTATCCCACTATGTAATTTTTTGCATAATTCCAAATGCAAATTGTTTCTGATTTATAAAAACCACATCTCTTTTTTTCCAACACTTTCGAACCCCTCATGATCTCACTCCCCAAAAAAGATGGAACGCGGCATAAGTCATTTTTCACTATAAAGTAAACTATAGAGTGTGAACCCAACTTTCTGAATCACACAATTTGTCACTGATAAGGTTGTATCACAGGCGGAGTACGGTGAAATTTTTATTGCATCAAAATATGGGGAAAAAATTTAATAAAAAAGTTCGTCGCACGCCTCGAAGTGAATAAATAGCCACTTGAAAGGAATTAACTTCACAGTCATTCGCTTACATTTTCTCAATGCACGTTCACAGCCATTCGCTTACACTTTCTCAAAGCGCACACGCTGTGGAAAATGTGGCGGCAGTAGTTCAAGCTGTTGTTCCGTTCAAAAAGTGTTCAAAGATCAAAAACAGAAGGAAAATTGTTGCCAATTCCAACTTCGGAAGACTCGTGAAACGATCGGTTTGTTCCGGACTATGTTGAGTGAGTTTACATTGCAATTCAGGAGATCTTACATCAATTCTTCCATTTTCAGATAGAGTATCAAAATCTCAAAACCGGGACCTCATCGATGATGTTAACATTATGAAGTTACCGGAGAAGCTTGAATACATCGTGTCATGGTCTGGGAAAATCCTCTATCAAAAACTTTGTCGGAGACAAAAGGACTGGATCTGATAATGGCAGAAACAGAAATGTGCTATGAACATTTGAAATCTCTAATCATGGTCAACAGTGTTTCACTGGCTTGAAAGTTATGAAAATATGGAATTCGTATTTTAAATAAAATTTTCACACATGTTAGAGTTCACTGATAACTGACCATTTCGTGATAATATCACGAAATTATCATCAATATTAGTCACTAGTCGTGCGTTGCCGGCCCCTTTCTGTCGGAGGTAGGTCAGATTCCGACACAAACAGGGGTTCTGGTCTTCAACTTAGAACTTCCGACTGAAATCTGACTGTGGCCCGTTATACAGCCGTCTTTGGACGAGTTCTGACCAGAACTTGGTCAAAGTCTGTCAAAAAGTTACAAGCCAACAACCAAGTAGCAACGCCCGCCCTTTGCAAAAAATGGATCAAATTTTTTTACTGTCTGTGCAAACAAAGATTGTGTCATAGACTATGTATTTACGATATGTACTTCGAAATAATTCAAAAAGCTGACACGTTTATTTCCATTTCAAGCTGCAAGCTAAAAAAAATCATCTAGAAAAGTTTGTTCAAGTCAATATCTGGAATCGATGAGCACGACACTTGACTGCTGTTCAAATCGAACATATCCGTGTTGATAGAAGTGATAATATCAGTGTTCTGACAGAAAATCTTGGCAAGTTTCACTCGTCGAATCACATCAATTTGCTGTGGTGTGAAGCCAACGGTGTTGGCCACCTGGTTCTCGTAGTAGAATCTGTCTCCAGTTTTGAGCGCTCGGAATTGCTCAGCAATAATCCACGAGGCAGTGGGACCGAGTTGTCCGCCGGAGAGTGGTGTCTCCATGACAAGTCCAGTGAACAAATCGATATCAGCTGGATCAGCGTACACAGTTCTCAATGCTGCTAGATTGGCGGCAGAGAAGGTGGAGGAAAGATCATTCCAGGTGTTAACAGATGTTAGGCCAACAAGACTGCGGTATTTGACGTATGGCAAAAGTCCGACATCTCTTCCTCTCATGATATTCACAGAGATCAAGTCAACGCCAGAAGCATTCTTTCCGCGAATCTCGAAAAGTTGATTACGAATCGGGAAGGAGGCATATCGATCCACTTGCATTGCGGCGGTCTTGATAAGTCCCATGAGCATAGTCTCCCATCCTCCATAACTGATTTTGTAGAGCTCGTCAGTGTAGAAGATGTTGTATCCCAAGTCATAAGTTTTTATAGTTTTGTTGGAGGCATCTTGACGAGCGAAATCTTGTCTGGACTGGCTGTGTCCGAAACGGAAAGCTGCCGCTGCAAACTCTCCACTTAACGCGGCATTCATCGAGGTACTGTATCCAGTGAAAGCTCCGGCTCCAGGTTTCATGGTTTTCAAGTTAAAGTCTGTCATGTACTTGTCGGTCAACAGTTTTGGAAGGTATTCGTTGTAGACAATATGTTGCCATTGAGCCACCATGACGCGTCTGACGAATTGATAGATTTGCTCATCGTTCCACGATGGCTTGGCGGATTTTGTCATGACAGCAAGACGGTTGTGCTCTTTGATGAAGACAGTGTGGACTGAAGTTTCAGTTTGAGCTCCTCAGAAATTTGAATGCTCCAACTTACGTGGCAAAAGTCCTGGGTGAAGTGAGTTTCTGAAATCTCCAGCGGTAAAGCAATAATAGGGATTTGTAGATTGGCAATTAGTGTCATTCTTGGCTTGTGGTGGAAGAACGTATCCCATAGCGGTGTTGGTAGCCAGCTGTCCATTCACAAAGCTTCTAACTGTTCTTGCCTCACAATCTGATGATCCGTAAACTGATGACATATCCAAATAGTGGGAGTTTTGATCGATTTGAGTTCTGACTCCGAATCCGGACTGTCCGTTGAGAGCACGAGTGAGACGGATGCATCTGGCTTCGGTGCTGGAGACTGGGGTGAAGTACTTGTCATCGGCTGGAGCTGGGATTGGAGCACAGTTAGAGGAAACAGTGGTTGGAGAAGAGCATGATGTGCAGTTCAAGCTGGATCCGTCCTTGGCTGTAATTATTGATTTTGTGATAACTATCAATAAACGTTTAATTCATTTATTCTAATTTTGTGTCCTATTCAAACCAAATAACCTAGAACAATCCAAAAAGTAAACTTCTCACCAGTAGAGGAAGGCATAAAAATGATATCGTGGGCGATGAACTGTCCGATTTGCATATGAAGATGATTGATGGATGGGGAGAAGTTTGGCGAGGATCCTTCATCATGAAGTTTGTTGGAGATCTGACGGGCTGATGGAAGTGGAGCACCGGTGACAGACTTATTGCGGATAGCTCCGAGTCCTGAATATATAAAGTGTCAACGTTGACTGAATGTATTTCGCATTACTGTAATAGGTATCGAAAGCTTATTAGGGTAGATGTAGCTCAGGAAAGTTTGTATTACGGTAGCTTGAGCTTATTACGGTAGCTATAGCTTGCAGAAGT